GGCTGGAGAGATGGCTCAGAGGTTAAGAGCACTGACTGCTCTTCCAGAGGTCCTGAGTTCAATTCCCAGCAACCACATGGTAGCTCACAACCATTTGTAATGAGATCTGGTGCCCTCTTCTGGTGTGCAAGCATGCATGCAGATAACTGTATACATAATAAATAAATAAAAGAAAAAGAAAAAAAAAAAGAAAAGTTGGCAGGCTTAAGTGGGGTGCACGGATTAAGGCATCCCACTCAGGAGACTAATACACCAAACTCATGAGTTTGAAGACAGCTTGAAACCTCGGTACCAAAACCAAATAACCGAGAGGGCCTAAAGTAGTCTGTAAGTTCTCTGCACCACTTTGTTCCTCTGGGTGAAGCCCCACAACTAACAACCCCTATCATCCTTGATTGGCAGGTTCAAATGTGTTCCTCACAACCTCACAACCCTTGGGATGTTGGTGGGGTTTTCCTACTATCAGTGTTAACACAGGAACCCGAAACTGTAGCCTCTATACAGGAAAACATGCATTACTGGAGCCACCTTCAGAAAGAATGGTGACCGGTGGAGAACTGGGTGGTGACCCTATGTCAGCACAGAGAACACCTGAGTCAAACATGATGGTACATTCCAGGAATCTAGGCACTGGAAACTTGAGACAGGAAGACAGAAAGTTCAAGGCCTTCAATGGCTACATAGTGATTTTGAGGTCATTTTGGTCTACATGAGACTCTGTCTCAAAAACATTAAGAAGGGAAGAGAAGGAGGGAAAGGAGGAGGGATGGTGTGAAAGAAAGAACTCCCATGTAGTCCATGAGCTGTTGGGAAAAGTCTACCTTCTCATGACCATCTGAGGGACAGACATGAAACTTGCCTGAGGACTGCCCCTCCACTGAGTGAGTGGTGGGAAGAAGAAAAGTACACAGGTGATATGGTCAAACATTCTGTGCGCTCTGCCATCTCTGCCTTCAGGAGAAGCCTAGCCTGTGGCATCATTCTTGGTGGTTTTGCTCTATTACCTAAGCTGCTGGACCACTTTCCTTCCTGTGTCCTTCTCCTTGTCCTCCAGACACAAAGAACGGAGTTCCTCTGGTTTTCATCCTTGGCCACGTTCTGTCCATATGATCAGAGTAACTCTCCAGTGGCAGGTTTCCCTTTGTGTCCTCAGCTCAGGGTATATCATCACTTCTCTGCACCCCTACGTGTCCTAATGCTCATCAATGTCTCCTTAGGGCCCCCTAGATACACCTCAAACTCATCCTGTTAAACTATAGTCCTACTGTAGCCTGCTTTATTTTGCACTTACTTTCTATAGAATGTGCTTCATACATCACAAGCCTAGGGGTCCATCTGGCTTCTATGTTCTCTCTCATTTCCCAAAGGCATTCAATTCTTTGTCCTTTGAATACTAATTTTTAAGTTTATTTAAAATTTTGCTGTGTTTAGCAAGATCTACAAAATACAAGGATGCTGGTGATCACAGAACATTGACAGGATAGGAAGGAGTAGGAGGTTGATATGGCTATTATGGGTTGTTAACTTGACTATCTGGGATGAACTACACTCCAAAATTGGAGGGCACATCTGTGATCTGGATCTTTTTTTTTTTTTTTTTTTTAAGGAAAGCAAACTTCTTTATTGTACACAGTACAGAATATAATGCAACTCGGCAGGTTGTACACAGCCCTGTACAGGGGGAAGTATTTCAAATCAACTGGCAGGCTAAAGCCTTTCTGCACTGTAGATTTTCCACACTCTGGAAAAGAAGCAAATGAATGATTCTGATCTTGAGGCAGGAAGACATCATGCCTTTGATCAGGATTTTGATCCAGAATGACACATGCTTTTAATCCAGATCTTGAGGCAGGAAGATACATCTTTAATCTGGGTCACACCTTCTTCTGGAAGCCTATATAAGGACAATGGAAGAAGGAAGGGTTCATTCATTCTTCTTTGCCTGCTTGCCCCATCCTTGCCAGCACATCTATTCCTTCACTGGCACTGGATTCTAGTATATACAGAAGACCAGCTGAGACACCCATCCTCATGGAACTGAGAAACTACTAGATTCTTGGACTTTCTATTCACAGCTAGCCCTTGTTGGATTAGTTGGACTGCAGTCTGTCATTCCAATAAAGTCCCTTTATGTGTAGGTAGATGATAGATAGATAGACAGATGATTTGTAGATAGAAAGATGATAGATAATTTGTAGATGAGATAGATAGATAGATAGATAGATAGATAGATAGATAGATAGATAGATAGATTTCTTCCATAAGTTCTGTGACTCTAAAGAACCCCACACTTTGATACCAGCCTGGTTCTAGAGAAACAGAAGTATAAGGATGTATCTTTTAAGTATCTGGAATAGGCTTTTAAATTCACCAGTACCTTCAGGTACTGAATCCTCTCCAGACACTCCATATCTTGGGAGTTCAGAGAGCACTGAAAGTCCATAGTGTGAACTACATTACAGACTTAAAAATATAAATGCCTGCTGGGCTGTGGTAGTGCATGCCTTTAATCCCAGCACTTGGGAGGCAGAGGTAGGCTGATCTCTGTGAGTTCAAGGCCATCCTGGTCTACAAGAGCTAGTTCCAGGAAAACCTCCAAAGCCACAGAGAAATCCTGTCTTGAACCACCCCCCATATATATATATGCAAATGCCTTTGATTATCTTCACTAATCAACTGTGGATGGCAGAAGATTTGGTGAGCCTATGTATGAAACTTTTGACAGTTTGAGGGTAAGGAAAAGCATATTGCAGGGAGGTTGCTCTTTGCATATCTGGATAAACTGATCAAAAGATAGTAATGAGCTCCATGGTAAAATTAACCAA